GGGGGAAATTATATATATATATATATATATATATATATATATATATAATCCTCCTGTGTGACAAAGTGACAGTTTTAATAGTTAATATCATGAATATAATCAGTTTGAATCGGATTAGAAATTCAAAAACAAGTGTTTTCTCTTCTGCTTGTAACAAACCTGTGGGTCTGTTCTGTGCTGTTATCACATTATCGTCATTTACACAGAAACAAAGTCCACTGAACTGACTGATATCAGAGGTCAGAGGTTAAAGGTCATTGCAGACTTAACAGATTCTGCTGAAAGTGCAGAAAGAAGAGAGACAGATGAGTGGAGGAAGAGAAAGAGGATTTAAAGAAACGTGACAGAAAAACAGGAAGAAAGATTTCTCAACTGACTGGAGAGAAAAACAGACTGAAGGAGACTGCAGAGGAGAAAAAACTTTAACTTTAAAGAAACCGACCAAAGATTCAAACAACTCACCAAAAACTGGCTGAATATCAACAAACTACCAGAATATTTAACTGAAAACTGACACTTTAAAACTTGAACAGAGTAACTTAATTTAACAAGGTGTGACTGGAGCTGGTTGTTGCTGCAGTTTAACCAGCAGGGAAAAATACTGACAAGAAAAATATCTGGAGAATTTTGAGAGAACATTAAGAGAACATCTGGGCCAGCTGTCAACGTGCAAAAACATTGAAGGTAAGCTGTTTTTTGTTATTTGTATTAATGTTTATTCTTAAAATGTATTTATGTGGCACTTCCTCAATGTGGTACGACACATGACAAAGGGTTTCCATCGTGACAGCAGAACTGCAGGGACACTCAGCTGCATGTTTTTACAGGAATGTGTTTAAAATATCTATCAATGTATGTTTATTGATCCATGTGATTAATTGATTGATATATTGGTTCATCATCATTTCCTGGTTAAGTCCGCTGCTTGGATGAAGAATGCTGTGGTCATTTTTGTAGACAGCGTTGAAAAGGTGAACACGATGGTGGAAAACGGGATCCTAATCAATGATACGTTTGTGTCTTGTTTTGCCTCTCGCTACACCGCCGAGAAAAGTTATATTGTCTAATGTCCCCCGATTATTAGAGATGATATATTGACACAGGAGTTATCTCGTCAAAAATCCTCTCCCAGATAAAAAGTTACACATGATACTTAACAGGAATGAGGAGTTGAACTTTAAAATAAGAGTGGATTACTTTGATTTTGTAATTTTTGCAACATCAGATAACATGAAATATTTCAGTTCTGGTAGGAGGGACATCTGATCCGAGCATGTCCAGAAAAAACTCTATGTCAAAGCAAAATGTTTCCAACAAGGCAGCTGCTGAGGTAAGAAAACTTAGAGCCAGAACCAGAATGAAACAGAAACAATGAGACAAGACAGTCAGAAGAGTGAGGGGGGACAGGAGGAGACAGTTAAAGGAGAGGAAACTGTAAATCAAAAGGAAAACTGTGTGAGTGAAAGATCTGTGGAGGATGTAGTGTCAGGAGAGAGTGAAGTGGAAATGAAAGATGATGAAATATAATTAAAGTCCACCATATGAAAAGAAAAACTAACCCTAAGACAGTGTTATTTTTTTGCTTTTAATATCTGTCATTCTAATATCAGTACTCTGAATATAAATGGGACAAGAGAAGCAGCAAAAAGATCTTTACTGTATGTGCTCATGACCAGTTTTTTTTACCAGTGTCTTTTGTGGTAGAGCAGGTGGTGGAAGGTAGACTGATCATGGTCAGGACTATAAAAGTCTTTATTAATGCTTCTCCTACAGGACCTGCCAGAGTGCCGTTTTTACAAGTTCTAAGCATCATTTTAAGTCAAGTTAATGTGTTATTTTTAGGGGGATATTTTAATTGTACTGAAAATGATGTTATAGACAGAAATCATTAGGAACCTCAGACTTCCTCCCAGAGTGCACTGAGGCAGTTACTGGACACACATGATTTAGTGGACGTGTAAAAAAGGATGAGTGGTGACAAAAGACAATATACTTGGGCTCATACTAGGGTGAATGTAATATCCCTGGCTAGGTTAGACCAGTTTTATTGTTTAAACATAATTTTAACATTTTTAAAAAGTGCAGAATGATGAACCTTTCCCTGAACACTCCCTGGTTATTTGTAATTTGTTTTAGTCACCAATTTAAAACTTAAAAGTGCTCTTTGGCATTTTAACACAGCTCTATTGTGTAATGCTTATTTGAAAGATGCTTTTAGGTTTTTCTGTGGAGTTTTAAAGGGCAGAAAGCAAGATTTTAAATCTTTGAGACAGTGGTGGGATTGTGGGAAAGTGGAGATAAAACTGCTTTGTCAACAGTTTACCAAATTGATTGTGGCGGCACGAGGGTTATTACCAAGTCATGTATTAGAAGATCTTTTTGTTTGTACCGACAACGCCACCTTGGGAGAGGGCCCAAGGACCCGTATTAAAGGTCAATTATCACCTTTTACAAAAGGACACTCAGGTTCGTTCACTCAGGGAGGGCACAGGAGATGCGAGTTCAGATGATCACGCTACAAAATGTATTGCTTAAAATATAGGACAAAAAACGGTTTTTTGGCACAAATAAATAAAAGGATAATGGGAGCACCAACTGGAGAAAGGAGATACAGGCTGAGGCCACCCACTCATCACAGCAAAAAAACGTAGATGTGCCACACAACATAAATTTGAACGGGGGATCACACACAGACAAGGATCACCACCACCCCCGGTCGGCCTTCAGCTCTAGGGGAGATAAAAGGCACAGTTAGGAGGGCTCATAGTTAAAGAAAACAAACAAATAATCCATAACATAACCAAATCCAAATCAATCAAACAAAAGAAAAAGAAAATTAAGAGTCTCTGGCCAGAGATATTAACTCAACAGTTAACCATGATTAGAGAGCGGTGTTTGAACACAAATAAACGGAGGGCTCAAATTGAGATTCCCCTCCCAAATGATAATTAATTACAGTAAACTCCCAAAATAAAACAAAATTACACAAACAAAACAATGAGTTTATAACACATTACTTACCACAACTATATATCATCCTGCCCCAACGGCGGTAATCATGAGAGTACTTATAACAAACACAAAGGACGGTTACACAACACCTTGGCAGATTCCTTTAAAACACTAACACACATGCAACACACACACCAACCAATGTCCGGAAACATGCACTCGGCTGGGCAGAGTTGGCGCGTACGCGAACACCGCAGCCGGCCACGCCAAACACGAACACACAATCATACACAGCCAGCAGCAGGAAACTAGGATCACGCAACAGTGAAGACGAGAGCGATCGACCAAGAGGCACCGGACAGGACCCCGAACCAAGCCGTGAAGTAGCAGAAAGCAGCGAATAGTAGCCAGCAGCAGGACTAATGTGAGAGCAGCGACCGCATTGTCAGGTAAGCTATAAGTAGCAAAGTGACGAAGTATGCCACGTAGCGTATATCTCAAGGGCTTTCTCACTTAGCGCATTTAGCGTCCATAAGAAGTCAGGAATCCACAGCTTTTTTCTCTCTGCGGGAT